AGTCCAAAAACACGGAAATTTCGATGGAACTACCGAGATATTATCGATATCGACAAAAATTGAATAAAAACCACGAAAATGTAAGAAAAACTTGAATTTTTTTTATTGAAACTTTGAAGGATGCTTTTTTTAGTCAATTATCTATTAATTTATCACAAAAATTTGAAATAAAATACATTACATGATGAGTTTAACTGATTTAAGTTGATGATATAGTGAGCTGACAAACACTGCGAGTGTAGAAAATATGTAGTAAATAATGAAAGAAGATTAAACACACCATAATCATTTATACATAATGATTTACTACAGTATTTTACAATTTATACATTGCATGGTAAGATACATGAGTGACTTAGTACTACATAGAGTTTCCCTTTGCGTATTATCACAAAAACATAAGCAACATAGTGGTTAAGGCGTTGGAGGAGTGAAATGACATCGAATCCCCTTTGCTTTGTGTGCTTTGTGTTTTTTTTTTCAATTTTCCCATTACATCGATATTTTCAAAATTATAGCAATATTTTGACAAAATATTGTGTCGCGCCTCAGACCGGGGGGTCGGTGGAAACCTTGCTCCCAATGCGTGAGAAAAGTAAAATAAAATAAAAAAAAGCCGAAACATGAGTTTAAAATAAATTTATCTTATAAAAATAGATCCAAAATCTTACAAATTTAAAATAAATAAATAAAGCTCTATCACTCTCATCTAATTCAGCCTCAACTGGTTTAGTCCTTGTCTTGCCAACTAATTCATCTGAAAAATTAAACAGGGTGAGGGATAAACAACCACCGCTCAGTGAATAGATTATGTAATATGTCAGTCAAGTAATGTCGTTTTACACACTTTAGAAAATATCATGAAAAGATACACCAATCTAGATCATATCACATCATCCCTTCATATCTCGGTTATACTTCATAGTATGTAACCAACCACCTGACCCCTATTGGCCTCATTGCCCTATGTCTCCGTGTGGTACATCTATCCCTCGGATACCCCAACATTAAAGTTCTCATGTGCCATGAATAATACATACTTCAAAAATATTCCAATCAATATATATATATATATATATATATATATATAGCGTGAAAGATTGTTCCAAATTAGACATGCTTGTCTTGAAATAGAGAGATATTTGTAAATAGAACAAATCCACGATAATTCATGGTTTTCATATTTTATCACAAAATAAGAACTTTTAGAACACATTACATAAACCACTCACCTCGATAATAAGAACCCTTAAAATAAATTGGCAAGACAACCCATTTACCTATCTCGTCCAATATCAAATTTCCTTACATCTCTTCTTTAGTCCTTTCTAACAAATATCATATTGCATGCAGGTTATCTCTAAATATAGTACTAAACAACTTGTAAATGCAAGCTCTCTATTTGTACTAGAATAAAGGCGGCAACTATCAGTCTATCATTGGTTGATATGTTTGGAGGTTGAGATAAGTGCTAACGTTTGGTATTATGATAATATTTTGATGAAGTCAAGCTAGCTAGCCACTTGGATAGCAAGGCAACAACCTTATGTGTTTACACGCAGTGGCGGAGCCAGGAATCGAAACACAAGGGGTCTTAGTGTAAAAGTCCCAAAAAAAAATTTAGGATGGAATCAACATATATATTCTACATATGCAAAAAAATGAAAATAAAAACTCACATTGTTACTGGAAATTAGTGCGATAAACATCTCTAATACTTCACTTACGCACTAAACACATAAACTTGAGACATCATTTTAATTGAGATCACATAGAAAAGGGAGGGAGGAGAGAGGAGATTATGTAGTTACCCTAAATTCCTTAATTAAACTGCTGCCTAAGTTTTAATTTAAAAAAAAAAATTAGAATGGCATGCACAAGCTGAGGCGCAAGAGTGGCAGAAGTTGCAGCTTCGGATAGATATTAAAGTGTAAACTTTGTTATTACTGGGGGCAAGAATGCTTTGTGATGGTCCAGAGGCCAATAGATAGCAATTTGCCATTTTGCTTTGACTTCAATTATAGTGTCTCACAGACGGATCCAGAATTTTTTTAGCGGAGGTGCAATACTGACTAAGTATGAAAAATGGTTTTTCGGAATAATCATTTTCTCAAAATAATTTTTGGCGGCTTTTATTCTCTACATATCAAATAAGAAAACTTGATTTTATGGGATTTTAGTATGAAGCATATATTGACTTAATGAGCCATCATTTTTAGCCTAAATCATATTTTGCACTAAAACCGAATTTTCATATTTTGATTTGGTGAGAATTTGATTTTCTAGTATTTTTATTTGAATCCAAATAGGGGGTACTTCCTTATTTACATTGTAAACTTAAGTAAATGGAGTAATATAAAAATAAATAAAAGTAAAAGGACAAAGACATTTACTTAAATGTTGAAAATGGAAATAAGGACAGATTGGAGAAGCAGTAACAAAAGAAAATTGGGAGAAAATTGGGGGTTTTGGAATGGAGGAATCAGATTTGTGGAGAAGGAGAGGCTGGAGGATACGCTGGTCATTATCTTTTTTCTTTAGACCTGGCCCAAAACGACGTCGTTTTGGCCAGGTCATTTAAAAATATTCCCTGGGCCAAAACGACGTCGTTTTGCCCAGGTTGTTTTAAAAAAAAAGATGCGCGTCAGCAGCCTCGCCTCCTTCTTCTTCAGCTGGTCTGTTTTCTTTTTTCTAGTCATCACT